AAAAAATAAAAACGTTAAATTATTTTTGAAAATTAAGTATTATTTGCTACATTGGCATACTTCAGGAAGCTACGGTATGAACGCTCTTAAAGTTTATTCTAGGTGAATATAACTCCACATTCCGTGTACCGCGTAACCCATCTAGTCTCCACCATAAATCACAATTGGGGACCTTCGATAAAGATTTGTGACTCGCTTTCGGCAACACGCCCCTTATAATCCGAGTTTTCTTGTATTGATAAAATAACCATTATTACTTTTTACCCTTCGGCAGTTTAAAAAGGGATCACGGTTCATTAGAGGCTTATCAAACATGAAAATAATAAGTTTCTTTAATAATTTAAGATTTTGGTAAAACAAAAACATCGATTTTCATGTTTGATTAATTAAAAAGTATCAATAAATATATTTTCTCAAATATGCTTGGAAATGTGAGCATTATTTTGACAAACTTCTTCGAGATAAATCAAAATTGCCGTACTGGCCAAGATACATGCGGGCAGCGGCCGGCAAAAGTTTTATGAAAATCCATATCTGTCGTGTTTAGCGGCCAGATAAATTGCTATGTAAACTCATATCTGTCCTGTAATTTAAAAATGGAATGACCTTTTACTTCGAAACATAGCTACCAAGGAAGTAACTAATAAAAGGTTTTATTTAAATTTCGAACTGGCTTGCAAATAGAAAGCTGTTTATTAAAAAAAAACACAGGAACATTATGGCGCGTGAAAAATTATTATTGTTCGTTATTCGTCATTGAACTTAAAAAGTAAAACTGTGTTTTTGATTTCCGCGCATTGTTTGAGAAAAGTACTATGCAAGCCTTGGCCACAACTAGGCATTGATGGACTCACGTATGTGTGCCTCGGCTACGCCTGGGCCCACGTTTGCACGTTCGTCCATCAATGCCTAAGTTGCTGGCCGCTGCAGTAATGTATTATAGTTACTCTTATAAATACACAATTGGCATATATAGTATTGTCTATCAAAATCTTTATTTTGAGTGATTTTGTTAGACCATTTCCCCGCTATTTACTCCCTCTGTTTAGCGGAACAGTTGACTGGTAGAGAATACATCATGCATTAAGTCCACCCTGTAAACATTTTTTTTTTTTATTTATGCAAAAGTATAAATAAATAACATAACGCGCGTTCACGCGCGTCATGTTTTTTATTTATACTCTCCGCATTGGAATGCTGTTGCTGAAATACTGCTGCTGGAAGTAAATTCCAGATGGATCTGAAATTAACTTCCAGCAGCAGTATTTCCGAACCGATACGACAACATAACCTTCAAGAAAAGAGTTTTTAAAAGGCCGGCAGCATACTTGCAATGCTGTTAGTGTTGTGGGTGATCATGGGCGGCTGTTGTCACTTACCATCCATGCTCGTTTGCCATCTGTGTTATAAAAAATAACCCTCCCGATGGACGACTGATCCTTAATATGGAAATAGTCAGAAGATTGATTGATATACCTATACGTAACACATAGAAAAAATCCAGACATATAAATAAAAATTTGTATTGTGCGGGGTATAATTAGGATTGTCGCGCCATTGTCCTACTTCTCAGCATATGCCTACCCTAAAGCTCGCCACAAAATGAAATCTTGCATCTTCCTTCTACATGTAGTGCTGTTTATATTCGTTTTCATTTATAAAACGAAAATATAAAATAAAAGTCGACAAAACATGAAGAGGTCGATATATTTAAAAATGTATTCTCTATTGCAAATAACGGAACAAAAATGCATAGTAAAGGTACAAAATCACTCGCACTGTGCCTCATGAAGTAAAATGGCGCGGCGCACGTAACGAAAGTGGTAGAAACTGAATACCACCAACAATGAAAAGAAATACACAGCTGAAACAAAATAATTAAATATTTTATTCATGTAAAAAAAAATTTAGAACAAATTTATTTATTTAAATAACTTATTGACCAAAAGAAAATACTGTAACAGACTTAATGCTAGTAGCATGGGGGGAAGGGATTGTTAGTAATGGAGAGGTTTCTCCCATCGCTAACAATGCAGCTTATCAAGTCGACCTACACGCAGTTCCCCCTGAAAATCATCGTGACTAATTTATCGTTGCATTCGTCATGATGGGCTAACTGACCTACCTTTTCATCCTCACCAATCATCTCTCACTGGTGCCCCGCTAGTGTACCGATACCGATACCGTGTAGCAGTTGTGTTTGCATAGCTGTGTTTCGGTTTGAAGGGTGGGATATGACGTGAATTTACTGGGTACAGAGGAATTACACCTGAGTCCTCAGGAATGGCAACGCATGTGGGGTATCATGGGCGAAACAGTATACTCTGTTATGTCCATGGTATTGCTCATGTCTATAGGCGACGGTTACCACTTTCCATCAGGTGGGCCGTCATATTGTTTGCCATTATAAGTTGTATAAAAAAAAATCCATCAAAAAAAATTTAAAAAAATGCTAGTAGCATTCCCTACCGGTCAACCTTTGATATGAACAGTGAATCATGAACGCGGTATTTCATTATTGGCATAGGTGAAGAAAATAACCGTTTTTAACGTATTGTATTGTATCAATTGTAATAACTGGCAAAACCTTATATAAGCCACCTGGTTTATATAAAGTTTTGCCAGTAGTTGCCACGCTTGGTAAACAGGTTAGCAATTACAGTTTGGCTTTTGATAACATTTTAAGAGAGACGCTGCTGCCCATCCCTCTTCTTCCCTTAGTCGCCTCTAACGACACCTACGGGAAAGGAAGCGGTGGCCAATTCTATCCTGGGACCACATGAACTAAAGAACGAAGTAAAAGAGCACCATAGATTATATAAAATACGTTCTAACACCCATAGCACCCTTCATGCGCCACTTTTAACAACTAAATCCTGTTCCAAACGTTGTACGGCCATAATGTAATTAATTTAAAAAGTCATTTACGTCATTTGTAAAACATACGTTCAGAGTAATACCCGCATTTCGAAATGACTTTCGATTTAATTTAATTTAACCCCGCCGTCCGCTAAACGGAACGTTGTAGCTGCAAATAATTTATTTTTAATCCACTTAACTGCAGGCAGGCGAAAACCACTCGGGAACACCATTGCTCTTTCAGTGTTCAAACTTACATTTGTACGTATTAAATATTTTGTCTAACAATTAAATGCAGTTTTTCTATAATATTGTACTATTTTTACGCCATCTTTGCTGTATTGTCTTAACATGGAATGGACTACCCCTTCCTTTCCCATAATGAGTGCTCCTGCCCATCCCTCCACCTTTAGCGTCCTTCTTAAAACATCACTAAATCCAAAACTGTGATTGCCAACGCGCACAGTGTAAAAAAGTCGATTGCTTGGGTACCTCTGTCCCATTCGTGTTTCAACCGTGAAGCAGTTGTGTTTGCATGGCTGTGTTTCGGTTTGAAGGGTGGGATATGGCGTGAATTTACTGGGTACAGAGGAATAACACCTGAGTCCTCAGGAATGGCAACGCATGGGGGGTATTACGGGCGAAACAGTATACTCTGTTATGTCCATGGTACTGCTCATGTCTATAGGTGACGGTTACCACTTTCCATCAGGTGGGCCGTCAGCTTGTTTGCCATTCTAAGTTGTATAAATAAAAAATATGGTGTCAAGTCCACCATTTATACTTTCTAGGTGGTTTAATAAATAAAAAAAAGTTTCCGTATTGGCACTACGGTCTCGGATATTTTTACTAGTTAAATTCAAATTTAATTTCAAAATATCTTTTTTATAATATAATATAATACAATAAATTATAATTATAATATAATAAAATTTAATATAATACAAAATAAACTTGTTTATAAACACTTTTAAAACGTCGTTTTTTTAATTAACTGCAGGGTTCGGAAAGTTGTTATCTGTTGAGAAGAGCCCGCAAGAAACTCAACAGTTACTCTTTTAAATCTCTGTTAACATTATGTGTATTTATTTAAATGTACCCATTATGTCTAAAATTACATGGTCGTTAAAAGCCCATACATGATCGACTAACACCATGCACATTTGTCATTGTTAATCGATAATGGTAACCCCAAATCACGTGTAACCCACTCAGTCTAAAATAAAGGATGCTATTGAAAAAATAAAGGAATTTATAAATGAATAAGACAGTGATATATGGTGAAAGGCGACTATTTCTTTTCCGATAAGGATTTTCAGTAGAAAAGGGACATAAATTCCAAACGGTAGATTTCATTTATCCACTTGAGGGTAACATTAGAAAGCTAAAAACGTGTCCCTTTTTTATATCAAGAAAATACCCCAAAATTAAGTCTGTGTTCTAGTAAATAAATCGACTTCAGTTGGCACAAAATCGGCTATTATGATTTCAAAATTAAAATGCTCAATCGATTTTGATAAAATTTCTATGTGACTAAGTCTGAAAGTATATTTTAGATAAAAGTATATATTAGTATATTTTACTTTTCAGATAAAAAAAAAATCAAATCCGTTTATAAACGATGGGCGAGGAATGGGCAGCAGTGTTCCCCTTAAAACATCTCTAAAGTATAATTGCGGTTGCCAATCTGCTTGTCAAGCGTGGCAACTACTGGCAAAATCCCCTAAGTGGGAGGCTTATGTTCAGCAGTGGACAGTAAAAGGCTGCTATGATAGAACAAAACAAAAATATCACTGAATTGCGAATCTCCTACTTTCTTTTTTTATGTAACTTTGAATGGCAAACAAGCTGACGGCCCACATGATGGAAAGTGGTAACCGTCGCCTATAGACGTGAGCAGTGCCATGCACATAACAGAGTATACTGTTTCCCCCATGATACTCCCCATGCGTTGCCATTCCTGAGGACTCAGGTGTTATAGTATATAGATATTATATACATATATAGATAGATATTAATAGATAGATAGTTAATCTTATATATATATATATATATATATATATATATATATATATATATATATGTTAAGGTGTTAAGGTTCACTTTTCAATATCAATTTAAGGTGCAAGAAAACACACGTCTTTACTGAAATGGATATATTTTCAACTAACTTCAATTTCATAACATTGTTGCTTTTAAACCTACGACGAAACATTAGTAATAGAATGGCATGAAGTTAACCAGTGTTTGTTTCTATTGTTGACATTATAAGTAAATTACGTTAACATGCCGCCCACCAAAATGACTGTAAGTCTTTTTAAACGAGAATTTAATCAAATAACAATATATCTCATGCACATATATAACAAATATAAAAGGTAACAAAATATTGTAGTATATAAATTAATTTATAAAATATTAACAACTACATACAAGTTCATTATTTAGAATCAGTTTCAATGTCCACAGGTAAATAACACAGTTTGCTAATAGATCTTTTTACAACACTGTTACCACTTTTCACACTGTAAACTCTAGTAACTCCATCATCTCCAGGGTGTTTTTCGAGCACTCGTCCTAGAGCCCATTTACCAGGCGGTAGTAGGTCATTTTTAATAAGAACTATTTGTCCGATAGCAAATTCCTTTTCTTTTTTAAGCCACTTTGGTCTTTGTTGAAGTCTAGACAAATATTCTTTCTGCCACCGATTCCAAAAATCTCTTAGTAATTTTTGTGTATGTTGCCAGCGGGATATGTTACTAACTTTAACATGCTGTAAATCTGGATTGGGAATGACAATAGGTGCTTCGCCTATCAGGAAATGTCCCGGTGTTAAGGGTTGAATTATGTCACCTGAGTCATCAATCGGACAGAGCGGTCTAGAATTTAGGCACGCCTCTATTTCACAAAGAATGGTAGTCATTTCCTCAAAAGTCAAGTGATTGGTTAATATTCTTTTTAAATGGTACTTAATTGATTTCACGCCCGCTTCCCATAAACCTCCGAAATTTGGGCTATAAGCAGGGATGAAATGCCATTGAGTGCCATCGCACGCCAAAGATTCAGCAATTTCCCCTTTAAATTCCAAACAAGCATCCTTCCAGGCAGTTACTAACTCCTTATTTGCTCCTATAAAGTTTCTCCCTTGATCACTCCATAAATGGGAGCACTTGCCTCTTCTGGCAGTAAACCGTTTAAATGCACCAATGAATGCCTCTGACGTCATATCTCCAACCAATTCCAGATGAATGGCTTTAGTAGCCATACATACAAATATAGCAATATAAGCTTTATTTGTTTTCATACCTCTGCCCTTCGATATCAAAATTTGAAATGGACCAGTAAAATCAACTCCGCTCTGCAAGAATGGTCGAGAGGGTGTCACACGTGCTTTAGGTAAATCTCCCATGATCTGGGTTCTAACAGCAACTTTATGTCTCGCACAGATCAAACATTTATTTATGTATCCCTTAATCATACCCTTCCCTCTTACTATCCAGTACTTAGAAGTTAAATACGTCAACATAACTTGTATACCTCCATGTAAAGTTCTACGATGGGCATCAGCGACAATTAAATATGTAAATCTGTTTTTATGATTTAATATGATTGGATGTTTACTCTCTTCATCGATATTAGCGTGTCTGAGCCTTCCGCCCACCCTGAGAATACGTTGTTCATCTAAGTATGGATTTAACGATTTTAGATTGCTGGTTCTTTTTATTGATTTCTTCTTTTCTAATGCTTCTATTTCATCTTCAAAATCTATTTTTTGACTTATTTGTATACATATACGTAATGAATCCTCTAATTCTTGTGTTGTAATAGTATTGTTTATATTTTCTGCCAACAATCTAAACTTTAGAAATCTTTTACAAAATGTTATTACTTTTAATAATTCTGTTAATGTATTATAATTTTCAAATTGTGTATATATATGATTTTCTTTTTCTTCTTCCTTATTATTTATATTTAAGTTTACGTGTATAACCTTTTTCATTTCCTCATCTGTTTGTATACAACTTGGCTTATGAAAATCTATCTTATGTTCAGACAACCATTTCGGTCCCTTCCACCACAAGTTCGAATTTTGCAAATCTTTAAGATACATACCTCTGGACGCTATGTCAGCAGGGTTGTCTTGTGACTTCACATAGTACCATTGTCTGTTGTTGGTATTATCTATTATTTCTACCACCCTATTAGCAACGAAGGGTTTCCATTTACTGGGTTCTCCAAGTAGCCAAGATATGACAATAGTGGAATCAGTCCACGTAAACACTTGGGACATAGATAATTTCATTGCTTGTGTTATTTGTTTGAGCAATCTTGAAAGTAAGACAGCGCCACAAAGCTCTAAACGTGGTAGTGATATTGTTTTCAATGGGGCTACTCTAGTTTGTGCAGCAACAAGTGTGGTTGTTATGGTTCCATCAGAATTTACAACACGACAATATACCACGGCTGCATAAGCTTGCATTGAAGCGTCACTGAAACCATGTATTTCAATAGATTCTTTCTCTTTGTTGAATGTATGTAACCATCTGTCTATACGTATGCCATTTACGTTCTTAAAATCACGTTTTATTGTCCTCCATTCGTCTATTAGTGATTGACTTATCTCTTCATCCCAACTGTACTTTTCCATCCAAAGTCGTTGTATAAATATCTTTGTCATTACCAACAATGGTGCTATCCATCCTAAAGGATCATAGAGTTTCTGAATATCTGACAGAATACTACGTTTGGTGATATTCATTGACTCGCTATGTGTACTCGAATTGTATTTAAATTTATCAGTTCTCAAGTTCCATGCGATTCCTAATGCCTTTGTAGTACCATCGATATTGAGATCTAAGTGTACATTAGAGGATCTTTCGCTTGGTTTGATAGATCTCATGAATTCTGCATTATTAGATGACCATTTCTTTAGTTGAAAACCACCTTGTTGTAATAAATATTTTAACTCCTTGGCAGCTGCGATAGCATTTTCAACATTATCACAACCCGATAGAACATCATCCACGTAGAAATCCTCTTGAATTATCCTGGTAGCAATTGGATAGTTTTCACCTTCGTCAATAGATAGCTGTACGAGAGTTTTGATAGCAAGATAAGGAGCTGACGCCGTCCCAAATGTTACTGTGAGCAAACGGTAGTCTTTTATAGGTTCATCAGGATTATCTCTCCATAAAACTCTTTGAAAGTCTTTGTCTTCTTTTGCTATCAAAATCATTCGGTACATTTTTTCAATATCAGATACGAAACAAACAGCATGCATTCGCCATCTCATCAACAGACTTCTAAGATCACCCTGTAGTACTGGTCCTAATAAGAGCTCGTCGTTCAGTGAGATGCCGTTTGAACCTTTGCATGAAGCATCAAAAACGACACGCGTGCTAGTAGTCTCCTTTCCTTCACGAATGACTGCAAGGTGTGGTATGTAAATTGATCTTTTCGAATGTATTTCTTCTTCTGGTACTTCTTCTATATGTTTCATATTTTTGTATTCTTCTATCACTTGTGTGTATTTTTCTTTTAATTGTGGTTGTTTGTTGAATCTTTTCTCTAATTGTAAAAACCTATTCAATGCTATTTCTCTTGTATTTCCGTCCGGTGAAACTGGATTCTCTGTCTTAAATGGTAGCTTCACTATGTATCGTCCTTTATCATTTCTTTTATATGTTTTTTCGTAGATGTCTTCACACAGCCTCTCTTCTTTAGTAAATTTTCTTTTAGTATCCATATCTACCTCCCATATGACTTTCAGCATTTCGTCTACATCTACTGCATGATGTGTAAAAATAAAGTTTGATTCTTGAGTACAATTTTCACCAGAATGTACCTCACCAAATAAAATCCAACCAAGACCTGTTTTTAATGCACATGGTGAGCCAGGTGGACCTTTGATTAAATCAGATTGTAATATTTTAGCATATTCTTTGACACCAAGAAGAAGATCTATGGAGCCTGGAGTACAATAACTTGGATCAGCTATGTGTAATCCTTCTAGGTGTGGCCAATTATGAACAGCAAGTGATTTTTTGGGTATCTTAGCAGTCAGTTGTTGAGACACGACGTATGCTTCTACTTGTATGCTATAATCCGACTTGTATCTTGAAACTACTTTGAACTGAACTACTTGGTTTACATTCGTTTTCATAGATCCCATTCCGATAATACTTCTTTTTGCTGTTGTTCTAGTGAGTTGAAGTAACTGAGTTGCTTTTTCACTTATAAACGATGATTCCGACCCTGGATCTATTAGCGCCCTTAAGACAGTGGTGTGATCGCGTTCACTTCTTACTATCACCATTGCGGTCGCTAATAGTGCTATCTTCTGCCTAGTATTGCAATTAGACGCTACCATTGTATTGACTCTTATCTCCTCTTGCTCTTCTACATTGCATGGGGATGGTGACACACTCGGTTGTATGGTACCTATTTGACCCGACGTGTCCGGTTTCTTCTGTAAATGTAGAAGAGAATGGTGGCGCTTGTGACATACATGACAGGAAACTGGTGTACGGCATTTCAACACCGAGTGTCCTGGTACTAGACAGTTGTAACAAAGATTATTGTTCTTGGCAAATTCCTTACGTTCCAGGGGGGACAATTTTGTAAACTCCTTGCAATGACATAAGGCGTGGTTATTCTTGCACATGTTACAAGTTTTATTTGGAGTTGTCACGTGGTATGATCTTTCTCTAATAGTTCGCTCTCTAGTGCATGATAATGGTGTAACTAATTCTAATGTACGGAATTGAGATTCTAAGAATTTCTTCAAGTCAGTCCATGAGGGTAGTTCATCTGAATTTTCTTTATAAGAATACGCCTCCCATTGTTTATGTGACTCTGGGTCCAACTTCTGCACGACCAGAAATATGATTATGGGATCCCAAGAATCGGTGGAAATATTCAAATTCTGTAAGTTATTTATGCATTCAGACGTTGTATCCAACAATGCTTTAATTGAATTAGCTGACTGATTCATAATTTTCTTTTGTGCAAATAGTCGTTTTAAAAGAGAGTTAACTATTAGTCGTTTGTTACCATACCTTTCTTTCAGTGTATTCCAAGCTTGTAGGTAGTTATTTTCCGTCACTTGTATATGTTTTAATAAATTCTCTGCTTCACCACCAATACTTGTTTTCAAATAATGTAATTTTTGTACACTACTAAGCGATGTATTGTTATGTACTAAAGAAATAAATAAATCCTGGTAGGCGGGCCACGATTCGTAACATCCTGTGAACAAGGGAATTTGGATTTTGGGTAGCTTCACTTGCACATCCAGGGTACCCTGCACACTTTTTTCAGCTAATCGTGACACTGGTAAAGCAGATAACATATCCTTAAGGTCCGCTTCCAAGCACAAATAAATATCTTCATGTACATAGTATTCTTCATTCACGAAGTATGGTAGTATGCCGCGTTGTTCTTTAGTCGTAATGCGTAATAATTCTTCATGTGATTTTTTGAAAGTTTTCCAATAATCTTCTATGCACTTTAACCGCGACTCGATGTATCCTTTTGTTAATCGTGATTTCGGGCATTTTTTAAGATTTATTTGCGATTTTTTAAATAGATTTCCTGTATCTTCAAGTACACTGATAATTTGTTCCAAAGACGTAGCCATATTTTTTCAATAATCTTCCAATTACTAATTTAAGCAATCTTAGTACTAATTGCTTAGTGAATAAAGATCATTAAATTTGTAAATCTTTATAAGAATACCACTCGGCGATGTGCTATTTTTGTTCGATGCGGTTCTATTGTTCTCGCGAAACGGGTCGATGAAGCGGTAATAAACTAATAATCCGGCTCGATTACGGCCATATGTTAAGGTGTTAAGGTTCACTTTTCAATATCAATTTAAGGTGCAAGAAAACACACGTCTTTACTGAAATGGATATATTTTCAACTAACTTCAATTTCATAACATTGTTGCTTTTAAACCTACGACGAAACATTAGTAATAGAATGGCATGAAGTTAACCAGTGTTTGTTTCTATTGTTGACATTATAAGTAAATTACGTTAACAATATATGTTTTAGTACATATTTTAATAAATTTTGCATACTGGTGAAATATGTAGCTTAAAGTAAATATCTAATTTAATTATGTTTAATGTAAATAAAGAATCTGAATTTAAACACAAATATAAAATAATCTTATTATATCTTTATAACAATTTGAAAACAATAACTCTCGAGTTTCTTGCGAGTTCTTAATCAAATATTATATTTCTAATCGAGCAATAGAATCATAGAAAATTAACTATTAAAAGAGCTTTTAATAAGTATATTTGAGTAAAGATTGTTTCTATTCTATTTCTATTCTATTCTATGTATAATAACGTAAGTACACTCCAATCAACTAACGATTCTACCGCAATAACGTTAGTAGTGTCACTGGAAATTCGAGTACGTATTCTGTTTACAGAGACGACAAATATTAACTCTGTCCTGTATAGTGTTTGATTTGACATTTGAAATCAAATACTGAAACTGGCAAGTTGAACAAATCTTACTAAATTATGTACTAATACGTTATATTGTAATATATGGTCACGTGAAGTCCACGCGTACAAAGTATTAGCGATTCGCGAATTCGAACCATTTTGTTATTCGAACAATTAGTAATTACTAATTTATTAATTCGACTACTATTTAGTAATATTAATTTTACTAATTGCTGTATTCGAATAAATTTACTTATTAATAGTATCTCCCACTTTAATTATAACTACCACAATTTGGTAAATTTTACTAAATTTGAATTGGTAACACTCTTGACCGTTATCAAAAAAAAAAAAGAGATTCCAACGATCGGGTCGACTCGGCTATGTTCGTACCAACTCGTACATACTAATTCTACTACGCGTACTACTAATGAATGAAAGACGAAGACATTAGTACCCGGCTGAAATTAATAGACGAATGAATAAAATTAGTAGTCGAATAATTTGAATATCATTCGAATAATCCGAATGATTTGCTTGGTCGAATAATTAATAGTCGAATTTATAAAATCGCGCCTTGCTAACACGTAGCGGGCAAAAAGGTACTTATAAATTTCATAATATCTTATCAGCCGTTAACTATCTATTGCTGAACATAGGCTTTTCCCATAAGGGGGGTTTTGCCAGATGATAACGGAATGGTAACCCCACCCGCGCTATCGGTATACACCGGCGGGGCACCAGTGAAGGATGATAGGTGAGGATGAAGTAGGTCAGTTAGCCCATCGTGACGCATTCAACAAGAATTGTTCACGATGGTTTCCAGAGGGAACCACGTGGAGGTCGACCTGATAGGGCATATTGCTAGCAATGTCAAATGGGAAAGGATTGTTAGCAATGAAGTTTGACAGACAGTACCAATAGCGCGGGTGGGGTTACCATTCCATTATCATCCATTAAAAAAAAAACATTGTTTATTTCTGCCCTGTCATGATCACGACGTGGTGCAGTCCATGTCGAAAAGTCGACAATAAAAATCAAGCATGTTTGTACTACGATTATTTACATGGCATCATATCTTGCTATATATATCTCGATAATGAATGTAAAATGTACATATATTTACATTATTGTACGTATTATATCTCTATATGTATTTTAAAAAACGAACAGAGTTTCGTGCCTCTCTTCTCCATCCAGAAGGTTGCCTGGATGAGATCGCTTTTAGCGATAAGGTCGTCCATTGTTTTCTCAGTGTAATATTTTCTTGTAATTGTTTGTATTTATAGTACGTTTACTAATGTAATCTTTTGGAAAGGAAACAATAAAGAGTATCGATCTATCTATAGTAGTAAATAAGTAGAAAAGAAAAAAATTAAAAAAAAAAAAAACATTACCTGCTCCAAGGAAAGTGAATAATCCGCTGACGCATGCTAAATTAGCTAGTTTGTGCTGCTCGTCTTTGATTTTCAGAGCTGAAAAAACAAATAGTAACACAAAGTGAATTACCAGAGGGAGACTTTGTACAAAAGTCGTTTGCTTGGGTATCTCTGTCCCATTCGTGTTTCAACCGTGAAGCAGTTGTGTTTGCATGGCTGCGTTTCGGTTTGAAGGGTGCGATATGGCAGTGAATTTATAGAGTAAAAAGGAATAACACCTGAGTCCTCAGGAATGGCAACGCATGGGGGGTATCATGGGCGAAACAGTATACTCTGTTATGTCCATGGTACTGCTCATGTCTATAGGCGACGGTTACTACTTTCCATCAGGTGGGCCGTCAGCTTGTTTGCCATTCTATGTTGTATAAAAAAATACAATTATTTACATCAGATGTACCTCATTAAAAAACATATTAATTTTTAAGACATATTCGACTAAATTTTTTATGCAACTTAGAATGACAAACTAGCTAACGACCAACCTGTAAGAAAGCGGCAATCGTCGCCTATAGACATGAACAGTACCATGGATATAAAAGAGTACACTGTGTCACCCATCATATTCGTCATGCATTGCCATATCTTACCCTTCAATTATACAAACACAAGTGCTTCACATGGGGACATAAGTGCCCATATATATAGACATGTTTAGTGCATGATGTTCATACTCGTGGTCAGAAAAGCAGATTAGCTTACAATAGATCCTAGCCATTGTGAACCCGACAGTACCCACATACTGCCCCCATGGACCCAGGTCTGCGTGATACATTTCCCCTCTACAAAAAAAAGCTAAGGATAGTTAAATTCAGTGGTAAAACTTAAGATTTACCAATGTACGCACATTTACAGTAACACATATATGTCAAATTTCATAATAATTGAATACATCAAACGTGCTAAGAAATAACTAACAAACCCACTTTTTATATTTATAATATTAGTGAAGGTAGCTCTTAAAATATCATTCCATAACAGAGACTCCAATTTAAACAAAATTAACACGAACATGTACCCAAACAACATGAGAGGAGGGAAAGGGATTGTTAGTAGTGGAGACTGAGAATCCCATTGCTAGCAATATACCCAACCAGGTCGACCTCCTCGCGGCTCCCCCTGGAAACTATCATGGTTAATTCCTGATGAATTCATCATGATGGGCTAACTGGCCTGTTTTAATTCTCATCTATCACCCTTCACTGGTGCTCCACCAGCGTATCCTGTTAGCGCAGACGGGGCTACCACACCATTTTCACTCAAAAAAAAAAACCAACATGAGAGTGAACCCCTTCAATTAAAGAGAGAAGGCGTCAAAACAAAATCGCTGCAGTCCTCAGGAGTACAATTTACTCGTAGATTTTCTTTTGTTTAATCCGAAACGCATATTTTCATCCCACTACAAAATTAGCAACCGGGAACAATAAGCACGCCCATTCATCACCCTGTAGGTGGATCGTCATTATTGTGAAATTGTAAACCTACAATTGTAGCTTTGGATGTCTTTGAAAGCTAAGGCCGCGGTCCGTATACCAGCGTATAGCGATAATGTATTCATTTATTTAATGCTGCAAGTAAAATAAATATCATTACAGTATATATTAATGAGAAGTGATACAAAAGCCGGCCTTACTGCTAAGCAATCTTTTCCAAACAACCTTTGGGTAGAGCGTAGTGGACAAAAGGTAGGTGACGGACTATTATATAGATACTAATGTATACAAACATACATGTATACATATATAAACATAAATATACTTAATAATACACATACAACAGGAGAGAATGACGGAAAGAATGTGAAAATGACAATGTAAGTAGTTTTATTAAACTTTCAATAGTAAACAATATAATTATTACAATATTAAAATGTGAAAGTGAGTTTGTTTGTTTTATATGTGACAAATAAGCAAACAGCCCCCTGATAGTAAGCGGTTACTACAGTCAATAAACGCTTGCAATTTCAGGGGCTCACGCTTGCTTTATTGTTTGTTTGTTCTGGGCGCTTTAACAAGCTTTTACAATTTGGGATAGAGAAAAAGATAGGCTACTTTTTCACTCAACCAATCGTCGCCCAATATATGCCACAGTATTTGGGATGAAATCTACCTCTGTCCTACTTGTCTTTTTGTCATGCAACAGCGGGATTTTCATGATTGTGTTTTGGTTCGTAGGATGCGGTATAGCAGTGAAATTATACAGTACAGAGGTATAACATTGTACTTATCAGGGATAATAATGCACGAGGGATACCATTGGTATCATAATACATTCTGTAATGCCCATGGTACTGTTCATGTATATAGATGACGGTTACCACTTACCATCAAGTGAGGCATCAGCTTGAGTATAATTGAGTAACTAAACCTTTTCACAAGCTTTTACTTTTTATATACATATATATTTTTTATACAACTTAAACTGGCAAACAAGCTGACGGATTACTTGATGGAAAGTGGTGGTGGTAAGTGATGACATGAGTAATACCGTCACCTATGAATATAACAAAGAATACTGTATCGTCCTCGAAATAGCATAAAGGGTATCATCCCTTCTTGCGTTGTCATTCTTGAGGACTAAGGTCTTATGAGTGCTAATTATATCAGCTACAATATCAGTGGTATAGAATATATTATAAGTGGATGTAAAATACCAATTAATTCAAAATCCGCTTCAAGTCAGACCACAGCCTAATGCCATCTTGGGATTCATAGTAATGAATTTAATCAGTAGCAAAATCGGGTACTGTCTACCATTGGAGCGGCAAAAATTGTAATGAAACATTTATACTTAGAGACAAATATAAATACCCGACGCCCCACCGGGACATTTTCGAACTGCGATAATGAAGGAAAACGTAATTAAGGAATTCTGTTAGCGTTAATAATCTTTCAATAATTCAGGGTATTCATTAATTTTAAAATGGCCGTAAGCCGATGAAGAGTTTTCGTATTTCGTTCTACTCGGAAATTTATTATCTATTAGACAGTATGGTCTAATTCATGGGTTCCCAAACTTATTTTGTCTACTGCTCACTTTGAGAATAAATTATGTTTTAGCGCCTCCATTTTTTCACCTACTTAAAAACCGCTATTACTTCAAGATGAACAAATCACTCCTCAAGCCTCTACACGATGCCCCCATTTTTTTCTCTTCTCTTATCGCCCCCCTTTAGGCCTGCAGCGCCCACAATGGGGCGTTATCGCCCACTTTGGGAAAGGCTGGTATTAAACCATTTGATAACTTCGAAGCTAGTTCCAATGATTGGAGAATTAAAATGTAAATCAATCTAATTTTGGTATAATCATTATCATATCAGCTGTCCACTGCTGAACGTGGGCTTCTCCCATGAGGGGGATTTCGCCAGTAGTTGGCATGCTTGGCAGACGGGTTGGCAACCGCAGTTCGGCTTCTGTGGCTGTATTAAAGAGACACCGCTGCCCATCTCTCGACCATTAAGTTCCATTAATCGCCTCTTACAACACCCACAAGACAGGAAAAAGTGGCCTATTCTATGCCAGGACCACATGGCACACTTTTAGTATACTTGAATATATCTGTTTTCGCAAAATTCACATCTCCTCTCTTAAGGAGAGGAGATTGCAATCTAACCCCCAGCAGTCGACTAGGTTTCAGGGCCTAAGAGAAAGAAATCGGCGTACTATGAGGGCAGTATCCAATAGCACTGCCTTCTAGATCTTTTCCGGAAGAGAGCTGTCCCGGAATCACAACCGTCTGAGGTGTTGTTCCAAACTGGTTAGGATAAGACCGTTCACCGACAATTATTACTATTATTACTACCACTTCTTTCCAAACCCAGAATGTCGTAAGAGGTGACTAAGAAACAATAATCAGAGAAGATTAACTATGTCAAACTCAAATTAAAACTATGCCAAACCATTCGGCCAGTATGATAATAGTAAGCTAGTACTGCTCTATTGGAAAAGGTTGTTATGATATTGAAATAACAGAGTATAGAAGAATAACACTTTAATCATCAGGAATGGCAACGCATGAGGCATATGCGTACTGTTCATGTCTATAAGTGATGGTTGCCACTTTCTATCAGGCGAGCTGTCAGCTTGTTTGCCATTCTAAGTTGCATAACATAATATATAGTTACTATTTTTCATGAAACCAAAGTTAATACTGTCTCTGATGATGGATTGTAATGTAAATTTCTTACCATCTTTAAATCGCACACAACCGCGTCCAATTTTCGTAACCGCCAGCGAAAATAGTCCCATCCAAACAAGGGTAGCCACCAGCAAATATACCTGGAAATTGTTATATGAAAAACATTAGGCTTACAGTTGCCATTTAAACAACCTTACTATAATATAAACTAGCTTTTCCGCGCATCGTACGGCTCGCCATCGACAGAGAGTTCACCCTCATATCTTACAGCCTAAATGGTCGTGTACAGTGTCAGAGATGTTTTCTCCCACGAACACTCAGGTTATGGAATGAGCTCCCTGCCGAGGTTTTCCCAAGAAACTACAGCATGGGGTTCTTCAAAAGGGGGATAAAGAGGTTTCTTCATGGTCGGCAACGCGCGCGTAATACCTCTGGTATTGCAAGCGTTCATAGGCTACGGTAACCGCTTACCATCAGGTGGGCCGTATGCTTGTTTGCCACCTCAGTGGTATAAAAAAAAAACTTCGTCCGAGTAGATTTTAATTAAAAGCAGATCATTTTTGTGTTCATCATCATCATATCAGCCATTAACTGTCCACTGCTGAACATAAGCCTCCTCTTTGGGGGGTTTTGCCAGTAGCTGCCATGCTTGGCAGGCGGATTGGTAACAGCAGTTAGGCTTTGAAAATGTTTTAAAAGGAATGCTGCTGCCCATCCCTCGCCCTCCCTTAGTCGCCTCTTACGACACCCACGGGAAAGAAAGGGATAGCTTATTCTATGCCGGGACCACACGGCAAGGAGCAATCGAATTCTCGATAAATCGCAAATCCAGTCTCACATGGAGCATTGCTGTCACTTATGGGCGGGAGCACATAGACAGAGCTTGACCCTTTTGACTGAGCGCAACGACGAGCTATGAGAATTGTCGCTGATCCCAGACTTACAAGTGGTATCAAACCCGTAAGTATTAGGGCAGATTTTGGTTCACTCTGCGTATTCTACCGTTTGTACAACGGACTTGTTCAATATGACGCTCACGGCTACTTTCTACTATCAAACAGCTCGCCATCGACTGGGAGTCCACCCAGATACATTAAAGCCTAGATGGTCGCATACAGCGCGGTTTCAGACATGTTTCCTCCCACGAACGCTCAGGTTATGAAATGAGCTCCCTGCTGTAGTTCTTCCAAGAAATTACAGCATGAGTTCTTAAAAAAAGAAGTAAAGAGGTTTCTTCAGGGTTGGCAACGGGCACGTAATGCCCTTGGTGTTGTAGGCATTACAACAAATAGGTTACGGTACCTGTTTACCATCAGGTGGGTCATATGCTTGTTTTTCACCTTTTATAAAAAAATGGTGAACATAACACTTTAATTACGCTCCTTTCGACAAACATATTTGAATCTAAAACAAACTTTTGGCATAAATAGGATTAATAAAGTTGAATCGGTCCATCACAGGGAATTTTGTCAATATATTGTTTTTAGAACGGCAATCTGACGACCTGCCTGATGGCAAATGCCAAATATAAATCGACGCTTTATAGACATGAACAGCCGTAGACATCAGAATACACTTGACTTTTTTAATGTAACAGCAATAATAAAACACAGAGCCCTTCGTGTTTGAGAAAGGTTCACACTTTTCTAGTTTTTGATATTCATATTTGATTTCAATATATACATGCCCTTCAGAAGTACCCAACCCTTTTTGGGACGATATACTTAAATATTTGTATTCACAGATCTCGCGCAAGAGGAAGTCTTCATAGCTTAGATGTCACAAATTTAGATGGAGCATTGTGTCGTAAAACGTTCCAAAAACGCTTAAATAACAGTTGCCGAGCTATAGTTTCTGTGGAATAACTACCGATGATACACTTAATACTCATTGCAAAGTAATATCTACGTATCAAAATGCAATTCTGAGTTTTAAATTTAAATATTTTAAATATATATAAGTATAAAAAAATATCTCGTCGTTTATCTATTTCTTCGTGTGTATGTGTGTGAGTGTGTAAGTTTGTGTTTGTATTTATGTGTGTGTGCGTGTGTGCGCGCGTGTGTGATCACGATTAAAGCCACTATTTAACGAATCCAAATATACTTATAAACAGATGTACTTATATAATAAAAGTCACCAATTACAATATTATAAAATTTTTAAACATGACATTGAGAAACAATATTTAGCTATTTTTGTCTACGCATTTATAGTTTAATGCTCTATCTAGATAATATTAATCTAGTGTATGAAATATAAAGTTTCGATATGATTGTTTAGTTTGCATTTTCGTTCGATACAATCTTGACAGGTCAATTGTGTATGAAATGGATACGAAAATATGTACACAGTTGATGGCTCGTGTCCGCGAATTCTTTTATGTGAATTTTGGTTCCATCTAGATGATTAATATCTCTGTTGATATCTTTTTTTATGCAACTTAGATTAGCAAACAAGCTGAACGTCCACCAGATGGGAAGTGCTAACCGACACCAATAGATATTAGCAGTGTCATGGACAACTGAGTAGTACTATGGATAATCATGAACATATACTATTTCGCCCATGATATCCCCCATGAGTTGCCAATCGTAAGGACTCAGATGTATAAATTCACTGCCACATCCCATCTTTTAAATCGAAACACAGCCATGCAAACACAACTGCTTCACGGTAGAAACACGAATCGGACAGGGGTACCCAAGCAATCGACTTTTAATTTCTTTTAAAACAAACTGTACTCACTAGCATAGCGCGACAATTTTCTGTGAGGGCCACAATAAGCAACAATATTCCAGCACCGGTTATTCCACTCAGTACGACACCCGTGGTGACACTCATTACTGAAAAAAAAAACATTCCAAGATAAATTTGCGCTTGACACTTGATGGTAAGTGAGTAAAGATAAGTGTAAGACCTTATCATGTCTAGGATGGAGCGCACTACTCTAGAAATTACTTATCTAATATTGCCATTACGATGAACGATACGTACTAACATTCTACCTATATATTAAGTTTTAGACTCTCGTTACACGGTCTAGGGCTCACTACACATTTTGGGAAACTGTAAGTGTAGTGAGCAATTTATAAATAAATAAATAAGTGACGGGGGTAACGCGATTATTATATTTGGCTAAAATATCACAATTTACCTGAGTTATCTCGACGTTTCGACCAGAGAGCCTACCATGAAATGTTTCCGAAAAGGGGTCGAATAAAACATAAATTTGATGTTAAAAGTACACGATACGTACCTTTTAAAAATGTTAAAATATTGTTCCTTTAGATATTTGTAGTAGCAGCATAGAAAAATGTCGAAAATAAGTCTCGAGTAAATTTAAATTTACTTACTTTGTGATGCCGAAGTCTGATGCACTTCGTCATACTGCTTTCCATGGGTTAGAATTAGCATCAGAAGAATTGATCCCACCAAAATCTGAGAGAAGGCGATCAGAAGAACCCCAGGAAATAGATTGCAGATGCCACAGCAACTCTCGATGTGGCAGCCAGGCTTGTGGATGGCAAAATGGAGGGGAGGCCGGGCAGAACCACGGCTACTGCTCTTTTCTCTATTATCACTAGATTTCGTAAATTCTATGGTGCTTTTTGGCATCTTGGTAAAAAAAATTGACAAAACTACTTATATTATGTATTATCACGTTGACATTAGCTTTGAAAGATATAATTCATGACATTTATTGGTCTATGGTCATAAAAATGTATCTCATGAAAACTTTTCGTTAAGAACCTCCTTGGTTCAAGGGCAGGCGATATGCATCCCAGCAGCGCTTATCAATATAAAAAAAAAAAATAGAATATAAAATGACTGATTACCCTTTGTCATAGTACCTAATACTATGAATATTGACTGAACTTGCTGACTAATATTAACTAGTGTAAGTAAACCAAACCCTGCTCCTGGTCTTCCTTTATACTGATCCTGATACCGACATTTTTTTTAATGGATGATAATGGAATGGTAACCCCACCCGCGCTATCAGTATACACCGGCGGGGCACCAGTGAAGAATGATAGGTGAGAATGAAGTAGGTTAGTTAGCCCATCGTGACGAATTCAACAAGAATTGTTCACGATGGTTTCCAGGGGGAACCACGTGGAGGTCGACCTAATAAGGTATATTGCTAGCAATGGGGCTGTCAAACTCTATTGCTACCAATCCTTTTCCCCCCTGATTCCGACGTTGCTTAATACTGGTGAGAGCTACAACCAATTCCCTATATTACTTTTTAATGGCTTCATGCTATAAAATGAAAAGAAGACATAAATATCCAGCATAGAATGGGCAACCCTTTCCTTCCTGTTGTTGACATATGGGGCGACTAAGGGCACTTAATGCTTGAAGGATGGGAAACAGCGTCCCTCTTAAAACATCACCAAAACCTAACTGCGGTTGCCAATCCGCCTGCCAAGCATGACAATTACTGGCAAAACCTCTCTTACAGAAAAGGCCCATGTTCAGCAGTGATGTTTTGACGCCAGATTTTTTATTTATGTTTATTTATTTATTCATTAAAAATAATTACAACATTAGGACAGCAAAAGCCAAATCAATGTTATAAACATAGTGTGCTAACATACAAAATTATAATAAAACTAGCTAACTCGGTAAACGTTGTTTAACCATATACATTATTTCTAGAACTATACATGAAAATATATCGTACTGCAATTATTATATTCGATTGCCATCTTGCAAGCCTATTGCGGAATATAAAAATCAGCAGGGGTTGATCGTAAAAGGGTAAAAATTTGAAGCTGTATGTATTTTTCAATGCTAAATCATAGTAAAATAAAAATGAAATCATTTGTCGATAAATTAAAAAAAAAAATTTGGGGTGGGTCACCCTTATCATTGAGGGGTATGAAAAATAGATGATTGGCCGATTCTCAGACCTATCCAATATGCACACAAAATTTCATAAAAATCGGTAAAGCCGTTTTGTAGGAGTTTGGTAACAAACACCGTGACACGAGAATTTTACATATAAGATTATTTAACTGGCAGACTACTACTAAAAATATATAATATAATAATACATAAGCTATTTAAGACTGTATAATTTATTTATACATAGTCATTCTGATCGGTAACATTACGACTTTTCCAAATGAAACTAATGAATGAGATACACAAACGGGGCAAAAACAATAATTTGGCGAAGTCAAACGAAAAACGAACATGGCAATTAGTTCCGGAAATATTACGTTACGTTTAGGGACTGAAGAAATGACGTGAATATTTTTTCGCTTGGATTGTTCTATTCGGCCTTGATTTTGTATGAGTTGTAGCGAGAATATAGCCTGATAGCTTCTTGCTCAGTACTTCGTGTCTTGTCGCCGCCATAAACTAAAATTTCATCCCAACCATCTGGACGAGTGGCGGTCCTCCACCGTGCGTTTTTCAAGGCACTTTCTCCCACGCACAACCACTCTTTGGAATCAACTTCCAGCAACAGTATTTCCGAACCGATACGAAAAGAAAACATAACCTTCAAGAAAAGAGTATATTCCTTTTTAAAAGGCAGCACACCTGCAATGCCGTTGGTGTTGTGGGTGACCATGGGCGGCAGTAGTCACTTACCATCAGGTGAGCTGCATGCTCGTTTGCCCCCTGTGTAGTAAAAAAAAACTTGGATTTCAAATGTAAGAAATCCGATGACATAGAACACTTCTAGATTACATATCAATATAATACATTTGGGATATGTTTTAAGTTGGTCCTTCAGACAGTCTTTGGACGGACAGACGTATGGATAGAGGGGCAAATGTAGTAATGTTTACTTGTCTGATGACAATCTGACGATTAGCCATATGCCGAATAAAAACCGAGGGTTCTGTACAAATAATAATTGAAAAAAATGTTTTATTATTTTTTTTTTTTGTGATAGAACTATAGATTTGCGGTTTCAGATTTTTCCCTTTTCTTGTAGGTACTGTACGACATTACGTATTGCCAAATTTCTTGATTCTAGGTCAACGGGAAGTACCCTATAAGTTCTGATTCCCTTGTAAATGTAAAAATATTTATTATATATATATATATATGTTTATGTATGCTTAGCGATAAAGTTGCCTTTATTTTATGTCAGTCTCCATTAATATTTACTGTATGTATTTATTATTTTTTACTTGGTGCAATAAAGTGTAAAATAAACATAAACGACCGTATCTTGGATCGCGTTTATTTATATGATTTTTTCAAAGCTTCAAGAAAATGCAGTTTTGAGTATTCGATATTAATTTTAGCTATATGCCTCCGCGCGTTCCTGAGAAAAAGGATCTTGATAGACGGACAGACAGACGGACAACACGGTGATTCTGTAAGTGTTCCGTTTATGATTTGATGGGTCGAAACCCTAAAAAATGCTATAATTTTACATCTCACTGTCACATAAGCATTACATTTTAATATACATATTACGTTGCAAGGATATATGAATATTAGGAATTTTCTAAAATTCCTAATATAAAAATGTACTAAATCGTATCTGATGCAGTTTAAATATATCCAGCGATATATCGTTTCATTAAACTAAATTTTTACTTTAAATATTCCTGTCCAGCTTAAAATTATCTGAAAGACATCAGAGGGAGACTTTGTACAAAAGTTGTTTGCTTGAGTACCTCTGTCCCATTCGTGTATCAACCGTAAAGCAGTTGTTTTTGCATGGCTGTGTTTCGGTTTAAAGGGTGGGATATGGCGTGAATTTACAGGATACAGAGGAATAACATCTGAGTTCTCAGAAATAGCAACGCATGGGGGTATCATGGGCGTAACCGTATACTCGGTTATGTCCATGGTACTGCTCATGTCTATAGGCGACGGTTACCAGTTTCCATCAGGTGAGCGGTCAGCTTGTTTGACATTCTAAGTTGTATAAAAAATAATTATTTAGCGATAAGGCAGCCCATTGTTGCCTGTCCCTTAACTTTGTTTTTGTAATTTTTTTTGTGTTCATACTCGTATTGTTAATTTATATAGTCTGTATCATTCTTAGATGATATATATAAAGAGTTTTCATTTATTTATAAATTTAGTAAAATAAGTTTAATATACTTCGCTCGTGTAACCGGAATATAACGATGTCTTTTTTTTTCTCAATTTCTCATGTTTTTTATTTATTTATTTATTGGCAAAGGGCTAATCTTGATCATAAAGCTACTACCAATAAACAGAAAATGGAACGGGTTATTAATTAGTATTATTAGTATATATTATTAATATTGGTAGACTGTGTCTCCGCCTATATAACAAAATTAAAATGGCTACCAATTCGAAAACGTCAAGACTTTCATATAATGTCGTTTTTATATCCCGTTCCATTCCAAGGGTCCCGCTCCAAGGGTTATAACCCTTGTTCCTCGCCTTATCTTCGTGGACAATTTGACTTTCTAGTTCCCATAGCATATCCTCCTGTTCAACGAAATCTCTTATCCTCTTATTCATCAATGCGCTATAACGGATCCTTTACCGTCCATGCCCATTTCCACCTATCACTCAGTAATTTCTTGTGAAATTCTCTTCCCATGTCTATCAGTGAATAATTTTAAATATTATAAAGAGTAAACGAGTATTAAAGAGCATCTTCTATCTATATGAACATATATTTATTTATCTGTATGAGTAGGAAATTAATAACTCAAAAATTTTAAACTAGTCAAAATGTTCTCAATTCGGCTGTATTTTTTTTTATGATTGGTAGATACCAATTTATGTTTGGTACCTTAGAACTCAGTCTTTTGTAAACAAATTTGAAAAATTCTTTTTTTTTTTTATCTGAAATAATACACTTAGATTGGTCTCATAGCAATTTATTCGAAATCCGTTTAGTAGTTTACTTTTAAATCAAAATAATGTTGCCACAATTGTAGTCGTTTTTTTTTTTTCTAAAGACCTAAATTTACTTATACTATTTTGTTATCATGCCTAGTAGTAATTTATATTTACTAGATTAAAATTATATTTAGTATTGTTACTAAAACTAAAGTGTACTTTAGTTTTAGTAACAAAATACATTAGTACTAAAATACATTTCACTTTAATTATTCACTTGTCATTGTATATTTTTGTTTATGGTGCAATAAAGAGTTAAATAAATAAATAAGTCATATTACTCAGTATTTTCACGAAGCAGTCATAAATAAAAAACAGATTAGACGATATATCAATATGTTACCTGTTTTATATATTATATCCCTAGATTTTGTGATATCCTAGATATTTCACGAAATACTTATTATTCACATTTTCCTGCGACATATGCAATCATTTCATTTCAATATAGATACCTTTTTATATTTGATGAGTTAATTAAACCGATGATATGTAGATATGTACGTAATTTGTTGTTGATTTCAAACTACGATTATTTACATTATTTTGTTGTATAAATTTTATGTGTAATTTATGTAAAGTAATTCTTTATTGTCAGAGCCATTTGTTCTCATTGCGTGAACCCCATAAAATATGCAATTTATTTCCATGTTATTAAGTTTTTCCTCTTTTCTATTATTGCAGTCCATTAATTTTGTAATTAATGATGAAAATACAGAAAAATCTGTAAGTATTAATTCATTTTTCGAAAGTTTTTAATTAAATTAATTTTATTTTAATACTATTCAAGGGTTGTTGTGATTTTTTTTT